GAAGGAGAAAAAGAACCAGTTATTTGGATTAATTCAGAGCTTCAACCCTTTGAGATTACAATGCCTAAACATAATTCACCAAAGCTAGCAATTCCTAAAGCAGTTAATCATGAGACTCCCTCTGTTGCTAGAACAATTATGACAAGGAGTAAAGCTAGGACTATTGAAGGACTCCAAAAAAAGCACTTATGAATTGTATATTCTGGAATGTTTGTGGAGCTGCCTCCTCCCTAAACAGGCTAAAAGCTCTAATCTCTTCTAACCCTATTGACTTTCTTTGTCTCATTGAACTCATTGTAGCTGAAAAGAAAAGGGAGTGGTATAAAATCTCATTGGGGTTCTCAAACTCAACTGGTGGTATTAACAATAAAATGTGGATTTTTTGGAAAGATAACACTCTTCAGTTTCTTGATTCCAGAGAGGATACTCAATGTATTCACATAGACTTCTGGTGCCCTATCATCAACAACAAAATCAGATTTTCTGCTATCTATGGGGGTCATTGCTCTACTGTCAGAAGAATACTTTGGGAAGATCTCAACAATGCTAGCACAAACTCCCACCCTTGGATTGTGGGTGGTGACTTCAACACCATCCTTAGCCTGGATGAACATAAAGGCTCCTCATCTCCTTATTATAAGGACTTGGAAGATTTTAGTGATTGCATTGATGCTTGTGGTCTAACAGCCCCACCTTTCACTGGTGGAATCTTTACTTGGAGTGGCACAAGAAGTAAAGGAAAGCTTTGGAGAAGGTTGGACAGGGTGCTTCATAATCAATCAGCTATTGAGGCCTTTAATGAAATCAATCTCACCCACCTTAGCAAGACAACCTCAGATCACAAGCCTTTGCTGATTCAATGCAAATAAGAAGGGTTTAAGGGCCCCAAACCTTTCAGGTTTCTTAATGTTTGGACTACACACCATAGTTTTTTGGAAGTGGTTAGTGATTACTGGGCACATAGCCCTAGAACAGGAGGAATGACTGCTGGCTTTGCTAGTAAACTTAAGGGTTTGAAACCTGTTCTGGCCCACTAGAGCAAGAATCATTTTGGCAACATTTTTAAGGAGGTTAAGGATAATGAAATTAAAGCAGCCAGAGCCCAAGAGGATTTTGAAAATGACCCAACAGAGGAAAAGAGAGCTCAGGCTAATCTAGCCTCAGCTAATCTGATCCTAAGCCTTAACAAAGAAGTGGACTTCTGGAAACAAAAGGCTAACATCAAGTTGATGTCAGAAGGAGATTGCAATTCCAAATTTTTTCATTCATTTGTCAAAAGCAAAAGAAGAAAACTTGCAATCAAAACAATTCATGATGATCAAGGCAACATTTTGACAACCCAAGAGGATATTTGCAGAGAGGCTATTCACTATTTTTCTAATTGCTATACCACATTCACTCAGTCAGATGAAACCATTATTTCCCAATTCATTGATCAAGTCATTGATGACAAAGACAATCAACTCATCTGCTCTCTTCCATCTGAAGCTGAAACTTATAAAGCTATTATGAACCTTAATCCTGATAGTGCAGCTGGCCCGGATGGTTTCAATGGGTATTTCTTTAGAATTTGCTGGAAGATTATCAAGGTGGATGTAATTCTTGCCTATCAAGAATTCTTCTTGGGATTTCTAGTCCCCAGATTATTTGGTTGCACATTTATTACCCTCATTCCCAAGATTGAAGATCCTAAAGGGTTTGGAGACTACAAACCCATATCCCTCTCCTCCTTCATGAGCAAAATTAATACAACGATCCTAGCTACCAGATTGGCCACACTGCTGCCCAAATTTATCTCAGAAGAGCAGACAGGATTTCAAAAGAACAAGGGTGTTGAGGAACAGATTCTATTGGCTGAAGAAATGGTGCACATGCTAGATAAAGAGGTCAGAGGGGACAATCGCATTGTCAAGTTGGATATGGCAAAAGCCTTTGATAGGGTGGAGTGGAGCTATCTTATTAAAATTTTGGACAAACTTGGGTTCAACTTACACTCACAAAAGTTGCTAATGGCCAATCTAGTAGGTTCACATCTCTCTATTCTTATAAATGGCTCACCTGCTGGTTTCTTTCAAATGAAGAGAGGGGTGAAACAAGGTGATCCTCTCTCACCTCTTCTCTTTTTGATTAGCAGTGAGGGCTTCACAAGAATGATCAACCTACACATAAACTGCACCTATTTGGGCAGCTACAACACAGGCAATCACCCATTGATAAGCCACTTGGCTTTTGCATATGACCTAGTGGTTTTCCTCAATGGGGACACTAGGAACTTGAAAAAATTTAGAAGAATTTTAGAGGAATATCAGAAAGGGTCTGGGCAGCAAGTGAACCTTAACAAGAGCAGCTTTTATACTGGGAAGAAGGTCAACCAAACTAAAATTGCTTCAATGTCCAGAAGTTTATGTATGGATCATGGGACACTCCCCTTCACTTATTTAGGTGCAACTATGGTTAAAGGCAAGTTAAGAAAACAACATTGTTCTAAGCTCCTGAATCACTTTGACAGATACTCTCAATCCCATGGGGAGACTTGTGTTGATCAAACATGTACTCTCATCCATACCTTTACATATCACAGCTGTCCACACCATCCCCCAATCAATTATACAGATTCTCCACAGAAAGATGGCAAATTTCCTATGGGGATTCAAGAGTAGTAAACCTAAATACCACTGGAGCAAGTGGAACAACCTGTGTGTACCAACTAATGAAGGAGGACTTAACTTGAGAAGCCTAGAAGATTTACAGGAAGCCTACTCCATCAAGCTATGGTGGAAAGTTCAAATAGACAACACTAAGTGGGCTAAATTCATGAGAATCAAATACCTTAGACAGTCTGATTAAGGAAAGAATTTATGACTCTCCAACTTGGAAGAGAATCTGTAGAATCAATACCACTGCCAGGGAACATACTTCAGAGGAAGGAGATCACATCAGCTGGGGTGAGGGGGATTTCTCACTTAAAAAAGCCTATAACATTTGTAGAATGTCTAAGCCTACTCAACTCAATTTTTCATACTGTTGGAATAATGCTCAAATCCCTAAGGTAAAAATTCTTCCTTTGGACAGCTCTGAACTGTTATCTACCGTTCTCCAATAACCTAAACGCATGGGGTTTCATGTAGTATCTATCTGCCACCTCTGCAAGAACAATGAGGAAACCATTGACCATGTTTTCCTACAGTGTAATTGGAGCCAGAATCTGGGCATTTCTTTGTAGAAGCAGTAGAGGGACCAAGATCAAGACAATCTTTAACCCTAAACCAACACGTCATGGAATGGAACTTATCCCACAGAAGAAGGACACTCAAAGGTCAACTATGTTGGAAACAATCTCTTTATTATAACTGGAAAATAACTCAAAACCAATTACAATAAACTCTCATATGTTTCTCATATGGCTCTCATATCAAAACCTAAGGCTTGGCTATGATATATATAGTGTTAACCCAACTTGGCCAACAAGTAATCTAGGATCCATAATTCTATTCCTACTTGAACTAGAATATCTCGGGTAATCCTAATCCTACTCGATAATTAGTCAACAATCACCCCCCTAATTTTCGAGTTGGATTGCGGGTGATCTTCAACTCCAAGCATGTCTTCTTTATCTTGATTCTCCCGAGGCTCTTCATGATCCCTTGCAGTGTTCTTCGGGCTCCACTTAGCTTGAACAAACACTTGCTCCTTGCGATCATTACACGTCCTTCCTTGGGTTAGAATCCTTTTCTTGACATCTCCTTTAAACTCTTGAACA